GCACACACGTGCAGACACGTGCACACACATGCCTCCCCTGCTTTTGCCACCTTCAGAGCCCCGACCATTCACTAAAGTGGAACAGTGTGTGGGGGGAAAATGAGGTTTCGCTGTAGGAGTGAAAAGAGTAGATCAGACCATTACATTCGGAAGCCTGGTTAGTTAGCCTGTACGGACTGTCTTTTTTTCCAGTAGAATATGGTGTGGGTCTGCTGGAGTATGGTAACAGTCAAGACCCAGAAATTACAACATAATTCTTTGGAAGAACTCAATAAATGTTAAGTCGTTTGCAGTCCTTTTTAAAATTTCGTGTCAATGAAGGTCTCGGTGACATGCCTCCCCCAAGAACATCACGCAAGCCCAAGCTTAACTCCAAGAGCGTAGAGGTCCATAACTGGGGCTCCTGCACTGCCACAGCGCACGCAACAATGCTGGCCCTCAAGTAAGGATGGCTTTCAGCGTAAGCTTAGGTGTGTTGCTGAGTGGAGATGTCAAGTCAAGTCTTCCTAGATTTCTGCCTTAGAAGAACCAGTGAGGGAACATAAAATATACATCCATCTCATAAGCTTCTTCAAAGTTGTCAATTCAGTAGAAAATACTGAGTATATAAATGACCATAAAAGTACTTAGGTGAGAGCATAAACCTCACTGTGCCTTTTTACTGGGGAATTCAGGGGAGGAGGCAAGTAACTCTTTCACAGCCTAAACGCACTCGTTCACGGCGCTCAGTGTCCTGAAGTGCCTCAGCATCCTGGCAGCTGCAGGTGACGGTTCTACAGTATGTACAAGGTAAGGAGAACGCCACAAGTATTACAAAACATGGCAGAGATACCTAGGAGCTCTACAATCTATCAAACAAGCACGGCAAACAAACAGCATCTCATGGATGATGTATGGTACACGACACACACGTTGCACGGTTACGTTTCCTTGCGATATCAGGATTGCCAACGTAAACTCCAGAATAAGTTCCAAGAGCAGCATTTGGCTTACTGCGTCGCCTCTGGCAATATCTGAAGTCCACCACCCCAGGAGCACTGCATTTTCTGCTGCTACAAAAACCGATCTCACTGAATCAACTAGAGCTAGCGGGCCCGCCTCCTGCAACACAAACGGCTGCGGCAGAGGTCAGACAAAAACACTCCAGCAACACAGTCTGGCTGCCACTGGAGACGGAGCCTTTACGTCATCTGTGCTCCATAAACGTCGTTCTTGGAAAGTACAGCACACAGCGACACACAAATCGTATCGATGGCTGAAAAGATTACATGATCAAGCCCGAAAGCAAATGGAAGCTAACGAAAGTAGTCTTTTAGGAGAGGTAGCCATATTAGACTCAGCATTCAATAAAAGGGAGCGCACTCAAAGGGTCAACATACATCACAGTCTCTTACGGACCCATCATGTTTTTGTTTTCCCTGCATTTTCTTTTGCAGAACGTACACACCCAGGCACACACGCGTACACACACACATATATACACATCTATGGTTTTTCCTAATTCCCCTTTGCTGCCATAACTTTGCCATACTGAGAACAAAGGCCGGCTTTCCTTTCACCCTCTCTTAGCTGTCCCACTGTTGCCTGCAGTCTCCTCAGTATCCATACAGTAGTTATATGGGCAGTGGAAATTAAAACTGCTTCAATTTAACATCCTGCTCCAAAAGACAGCATCCAAACCATAAGGCATTCCCTTGTTCTGATGTGAGCTACAAAACTCTTGGGCTTCTACTTGATACAAACTGCAGAGCGCTCTTCAGCCTTGTGCTACAAAGGCAGCTTTCACCCAAACAACAAAGACCAAACCTGGAATTTAAACACCACAAGTTCACACGCTTCTACCAGTCCCTTGTTCCTGTGCCCCTTTCCAACAACGCTTATCAACTTTAATTTCAAAAGTCATGCACCAATGCTATAAAATAGAAACCTGAACTACCAAGAAGTCTCTTGTTCATGACTTTGGGATATTGTATTAGTATAAAAGAGCATTCAGTCATCTTAAATAAATATATTCTATTTCTGAAATCACAGCACATTCAAGGGGTAGTTACTGCCATAAGCAGAGCATTAAGTAATCTCCATAGATGTTTTTAGAATCATAGAAGCAGAATCATTTAGGTTGGGAAAGACGCTTAACATCATCGAGTTTTGACTGATTTGGTCTAGTATCTGGAAAATAACCTACTGTGGGGATAAGAATCTGCATCTCAAATGTTCTGCAGAACGTTTTTCCCATATTTGTATACAGTACTAGAACAATTAAGAAGACATTACAGTAATTTTCTCCCAGCTGCTTAGATCTGTAGCTTCGGCTACAACAATGTATTTCATATACCTCAAAACTACGTATGAAATATCAAAGATCACTAAATAAATAAAAGCCAAGGAAAACTGGGACAGTACTGCATTTGACACTTGAGACAAGATTCCCCCCCTCCCATGGATAAGTCATAGAGGACAACTACAGTAAATGCTTTTCTTTTTTTTTAAAGAAAGATTTATACACAGGTTCAGATCCAGAAAATAATGTGAAATGCATAAATATTGATAGCTTTAGCTAAGTTAAAATGGGTTCAGTAAAGTATGATACAACATATTCAGAATAAACAAAGCAGAAAAGCATCATATTTTGGTTTGCTTGAGATATACATAAGGTGCAACAATTTCTTCTCTAGAGGCATTTGTGGACAATGTGTTAACGGGTAACAGTGTTTGCTGGTATACTGAAGTACACACAATAGCAATAAAATTTTCCAAAATGAAAGCAGCTGAAATTAATAAAAATTAAACCAAAACAAACAAGGAAAAAACCCAACCCCAATACAGTAAGATATTGGTCTGAAATTTTTGTTGTGCTAACAGACTTTGTTACCTGAAATACTGATACCCCTTCTTCTAGCAGATTCAGGGAAAATTCTAGCTACTGAAATCAAGACATCACTCAGAGAACCAACAAAGGCAAATGCCTAGTGAACTATAAAGCTTTGCAGGATTTCTGCTACTCTCAGTGCCTAATCGCTTAAAAATTAAGCATATCTACAAAAAGGTTTATAAGTATCTGAAAACAGTCATATCCAGTAAACTGACCCAACCCTACCCCCTCTCTAAGGGAAAGTCAAGGAAAAGCAGATCAAGTAAGATATTAATTCATATAGAAAAAAGTAATTTTCTGTTTCTTTTAAAAAAGGTACCATTAATATACAGAAATATCTTCAGGAACAATATTGAAATTTAAATCGAGGAAGGATGGGGTGCTTTGACAAAAATATATCTACTCTAAAGGTTTCTAGAGAAATAAGTTAGTACCATTGTCAACGTGAACGGCCTGCACTGTAACATATTTGGATTTCAGCTAATTATAAAGTGGTCCAAAACTCCAACAGCCACCTTGCTGTGACCCAACAGTTTTAAGTCTTTTAAGTTTTTCCTGTCTTGTTAAAATAACTTATAAAACTTTAATAAAATCTTAGTAAAAATACTGCCATAGGCTGCAATGGCATTCTAGGGGCTCTTAGTCATATATTCACCTGAATTTTTAAAAAGCCTTTTCACTGACTCATTGGCTCATAAATTTTCTTGTTCTTTTGTCGTTGTTCCCTTCTTCCAACACATGCATCCTCGATGGTGCTGTTTCAGTGACACTTCCTCAGCTACTTGCCTTTTGTCAGACCTTTGATTCTTTGCTACAACTCGTGTGGTATGTTGTATGCTGTTTCCTGACACTGAACCAAAGACTTCCACTTAACTACAACAATGAAAGGCTAAACCTAGCAAGCATTAATAGAGTTACTGTCCATATGGCTATTACATCAAATTAGTTACAAAATAACCCCAAAACACATTATCAGTTCAGTCAAGTATAAATAAGAATGCCTGATAGAATGATGTAAACTCGCATCATTTAAAGACTTAATTCAAAGAACTTCAAACTCAATCTAATACTATCAAAAGTTCAGCCGGTATGACGAAGACTAATAGAAAATTATTGCTGGAGTCCAATTTGGTAAATTGTTGTGCTACAATGTGAAAAGTAGGGAAACATCTTGTGCTGTAGAAGAAGTACCCTGTCGAATTTGTAGCTTTAGATCAATTACTAGTGATCGTTTTGCATCTATTGGTAGGAATCGATGCTTGGTTATACAATAGTGTAAGTCAAGATAGTGAAGATAACAGGGCAAGTGATACACTTAGCCTGCTTTTGGGATGTATTTGTGAGAGTAAAACGCAAAAACTCAACATAGGCAAAGACAGAAACCGGCAGATGGATCTGTTTGGTAGTCTGAATTCAGTCAAACGCTACTCTTCGGTTGTAGTTTGTCTGTATATACAACTTGTCACTTCACCAGCACAAACTGTAATTGGCCCTTCACGCAAACTCAAGCCGATTTGGACTGTGCATAGTAACTACGACAACGCCAGTGTATGTATATGTAAAAGGTATGTGTATTGGTGTACATGTATATCGAAAAGTCACGGCTTTAGGTTTTTCAGAAGGGTGAAAACATACTAAGGTCACTTTTGAAAAACGCATTTGCAGTACTTTTTGTTTAGAGGAAAGTTTCACCAAGTCGCTCAGATATCTATGCAAAAATAAAGGAACCCTCCAAGGCATGAAAGACAAGTCAGTTCTCTGCAGTATATTTTCCATACACCACTCCTTTTTCTAATGCACATCATCCTGGTTATTCAAAGCTAAATTAAAAAGAAACAAACCCAAACATAGCCTGTCAGAATTTTTGCCAGTAAACTCTACCACTCTGGTGGCAAATATAAAAGTGCAGAACATCTGGACCACATGGCTGCCCAAACACCGCTAACAATGGTACATCTGTCCAGGCTGCCTTGAGTTCTCTGGAACAGGTTTTAAATTCATTCTACTATATAAACGTAGGCATAACCTATTAATATAAACCATCTTAGAACTTAAATCTTCATGTACAAAAATGACTAAGAATATCTAATAATAACTAGTGCAGTGCGTCAGTGTTTTTGTTGTTGTCTTTTTTTTTTTTTCTTCCGTTTTCATTTAGAATAACTAGGTATTATACGAAACTAGTTGCCGTACTCTCCGGTTGGTAAAAGAGATGCTGTGTGAGCTAACAGTAAAGGCAGCCTTTTTCACACCAACCACCTATTTACTGTTTAAAAGCCTTCAATAGAAAGCAAGCTCTGGGATCATTCAATTTCTGTTCATTAATAGACAATTAATATCACCCTCCTACATACTGGTTTCCAATTTGAAGACCTGGCCCAAGTTGCTAACGTCTGGCTTCCAGTGAATTCTGGGCCACTCAAAACAATAAGCACTTGCTTGCAGTCTATAGTTTCCATCATATGGACTGACTAGCTTCCCTTGGTAAAGACAAGGCTAGGATATTAGGTAAAGCACAATGTTTTACAATAAAGTGGAGCTTCACTGGTCAGCGCAGGAAATAAGCACTGGAGCCTGAGACATTTCATTTGGCTGTCCGTCATGTGGGAGAGGTGTGGCCCTCTGACTTCTGCAAAAGAAGAAAAGAAAAGCCACCCATCATTATTTGGAGCACGGGAGGTGCTTTCATCAGACCAGAAAGGATGGAAAGCAGCACGTGATATGGTTTAACACCCAACATTCCAGCACCATAACTCCCTGCTGCTACAGATGCCCACGTACTGCTGTTACACGCTCTTTTTAGAGGTATTTCTGTAACAGCAACACAATATCCTGAGATATGTATGTTTCTGTAACAAACACAATATCTGCAACACAATGCAAAGTCAGGCAAAACCAAGACATGGTGGTATTTGGCTACACAAAATAAAATGTACAGCTGAAGAGTAAGCTAAGAGCGCACAAGTGCTGTTACCCATTTTGTAAGGGAGTGGCCTGAGCCCTCGGAAGTGGAGAGTACAGCTCATGTGTGGCAAAAGAAGGCAAATGCAGAGGCATGTGTCATGTTAATGTGAGTCAATAGCCAGCTTTTAAGCAATATGGAAATGTACTCATCAGCAGAGCTGCACATCCGGATTACTCCAAGTTTCATGACTTAACACTTCATCAGCCCAGCACAGCATCTCTTTCATTACTTCAGCAGTGTTAATTTACAAACGATCCCCTGGCACAGGGTATCATAAAAATAAACTGCATCAGAATCATGTGCTGGAAATCAACATCAATCATTGTAGCAGATGGACTTGGGAGAGCTCCTTTGCAGCTTGTCTTTTAAAACACATACACAAGTACGTCACCGCCTGTTATCTAATCTCACAAGCCAGGTCCTATTTTTGTTACAGTACGTGTCATTTGCAGCAATGAAATCTGGGGCCCGCTTCCTCTTCTCACAAGGGCCGCTTCGCCTCGCTCGGACACAGCTAAGACCCCAGCAGAAACGGAGGTGCCAACGTGGTTCGCACAACCAGAGTGAAACGAGGCGGCCGTGGCACAAAATGCAGCGCAGGCTCACGCCTCTTGAGCAAAGCATGCACAAGGTAAATAAAGCTAAACAGAAGCCTTCCAATGAAAACCACGCTACCACTTCCAGAGAAGCTCTCAATACAGTTAAAATGGAGTTTGGCTTCCACGGCCCAAGGCTCTGTAAAAGTATTTAATAATTAAATTCAGACACCAGGGAAACACATCAAGCAAAACACCAATGCTATTCTTCTCATTTCTGGCTATTTGCAAATAAAGTGAGTTGGAAAAGATAACAAAACAGTCAACAGAGTAGAAAATCGAGAAGCAGTTCGCCCATCAGATTTAGGTTTCTGTTTTGACTGTCATTTGCCAAGTCTGTGAGAGACATGGCTAAGTTTCTGCTGGAAAAGTGTCCTTCCCTGTTTTCCTTTCCCCTGGGATAAGAAAAAGCTGGTGTTTGCAACAGTTGCTGGACATTTGCTGCTTTTTTGTTTTCAGGCCTCACAGAAGGTGCTGCATTGCTCTAGCTGCATGATGAGATGACAAAAGGTGGGAGTAAGAAAGACCCAAGCAGAAGGCTATGTAAAACATTAGCCCACTTCAACAGGGACAAGAGAAGGACAACAACTCTTAGAGGAACAAAGAGGGAAAAACCACAGCGAAGTGAATCCTATTACTCTTGCGCAACTCTGGTCAGTGTTAATGGAAATCAGTGAAACCACAGCGGTGTGAGTGAGAGCAGAGCTTAGCACAGCACTCCCTAAGCCTCACTTCGTGATTGCTGACCACAGAAAATGACAGAAACGAGTTCAGACTTTTGCCATCTTGATAGCAGACACTTGTTTTGCAAAGCTGGGAGGAAAGGCCAGGCTGACTGCAGTGTGAAAACACTTCTCACCCAAAACAACGTTGCTTAAGCAAGACAATAGCTTCTGCAGAGAACAGCTAGCAGGCTGAGTTCAGCTGACTTTTTTTCTTGTAGAGCCCCCGAGCTTCTGAAAAGCCTTTCAATATTTGATGCGCAGCCTGACCACATAGGACTGGGTTGGTTGGCCACGAGATCAACAGTAAAATGAGGTTGTGAATGGCTTCAGCAGATGCTGCCTTGTGGAGTTTCTTAGGCAGCCAGCAATTTGTCAAATGCCATTTGCAGAGGCTGTGATGGTTTCAAACTGGCCAAGCATTTCCTCATTGACTTTCCACTGCAGGAAAGGATGGGATTTCATCTCCAACAAGCTGCAGCATCAAAGAGCAATATTGGATAATTCAGAGTCAAGGAGGATTTGCTGTCATTGGTTTCCTTCAACACAGGTCTAGCATGCAGGATGTGACCATGCTGAACTGAGCCAACAGCCCTAAGTAACCTGCACGTTCTCCACCTTATCTGTTTGGAGAGTCTACTCAGTCACTGAGAAGACCAACACAAACTAATGTGGCTTTCCATCACCCAGAGTTAGCTTTCTTCAGCCATATTCACCATAAAAACTTCAGCTGAAGTTATATGAAATTCTCTCCACAGTCTTAGGCCACTGAAAAACACATATCAACATGCAATAGGTATTTAAATCTACTATCTGACAAACAGTATCTGATAATTGGAAGTGTTCACTCATTAGGATCTCAAGCAGCACACAAAACTGTTTATATACAAAAATTGTTAGGCAAGCTTAACAGGGAGGATCATTGTACTGACTACTGAAATAGATTACATTTCTTTTAAGCAAAGACTTAACACTACTAAACAAGTGGTGTAAAACAGACACTCATAGAAAGCTGTGGAAGAGGAAACACAGGTCAAATTAATAAACAGTTTGCAATTCACATGCTTTTTGAACAAGCTGGCAGTCACATACTAGTCACTTAGACAACAAGGTGAAAAGAAAACCATACCTGTGTACGTTTTCCATGGCTGCTACTTCCGCCAGAGCAGCTAAGCTAAAAAACGCAGACACCGCTGGCATATCTGACGTAATACTATGTTTTCCTTCTGCCTCTGCATTTCTGGAGCATTCACTGTTGTAATCTGTCTCTGTACTTGATGTTTTTTGAAGAGTTTTTTGTGGCAGCTCTTTTGGCTTCTCCTCTGCAATAAAAGAAAGTTAAGCTTGCAAATCCAGCCCTTGAATTCCCAGCAGCCCATCGATATACTAACTGTTAAGCAATTAACAGCAGAGGACTCCAGCAAGGACTGTGGCATTGACTGTCATTCTTATGAAATTATTTTTTTTACATCCTATAACTACGTGCAGTGTAATTTCTTTGCTGTACTGGAAACAGATTATGAAAGGTAATTGTTTTTCATTTCTCTCTGTATCAGTTCTCAGTTCTTAGAGAGAAACATCCAGGGAGAAAAGACAGATTTGGGCATTCAAACAAAAAAAGCTGGCCATTATGGACTCGCCGATTCCTCAACTGATACCTGTATTTTAAAGAATGATCCTTCTAAACAGGTATGAAGCTAAGCTAACTGAAAAATACTTCCCTGACAGGTTGCTCATACTCCAAAACTTTCTCCAACCACTCAATTTTAACAAAATTTAAACGACAATTTCCTTACCCTGTGTCCCTCCTGCTGGTGACACTCGACCATCTGCTGTTCGGACAAGATGTGTGATCTTAGTTTTCCTTGCTTTCCTTTTCTGGCTGCCAACTAAAGGCTCATGCATCATTGCTGGCTCTGGAGTGTTTAGGGCAGATATAGAAATTTTATTCTTCCAGGCAGACTCACTGGAATTTCTGTCTTCTAAGAGTATGGCTGAAAGAGGACAAAAATGCAGTTTTACACGTAGAACAATTCAGCTACTAGCTATGCTCATTCACCATTTCCCATCTATCTGCATAAAGCCTTCCCTCACAGGTACTCAGAGCATAACCCATGGCAAGATATGATCTGAATGCTGCAGATATTTGCAGAGGAATAGTAGCATCAGCTCTTAAAAGACATGCCAGGGAGTTCAAGTTTCTAATATTTGCAAAGGAAACTGTAAGATTGGCACTAGCACTTCGGTGGAAGCAGGGTATCACACAGTCTGTATAAAATGCTCTGCAACAGAGGATGCCAACAACTAGCTAAGACATAAATGTATTTAAGGAACAATAACGGTGCTCATGTAAGCTTCTCTTAGCTCACAGATGGACTCATAAGCAGAATTCAGGAATTCCAAACGCCCAGTCTTCTCTCTATAGTCCCTCTATGTCATCTCCTCTAAGCAGAAGGAAAAGCTGCCTTGTACAAAACAACAGATCTTAAAAACCACCCAAAGGGCAGTAAATACAAATGCAGAACTGGATCACAGTTGAAGACAAGAATGCTAAAAAAAGAAAGTAAGCATGGGATAAAATACTGTGACGGAAATACTGCCTACATAAAGTCAGAGAGTGAGAAAGGAACGGTTTGAATCTTTCTCAACAGTACCAGTGTTGGTGTTTCAAAGCAACCTTCTGCCCTGAACTGGAACACGATCACAAATTTTCCTCTGACTAAACGGTCACTTTAATCTTGTTCATGAAGAAACTGGTCAGAGACAGGAATCACAAAATGTATTTAATCTTCCAAAGTCACTTGTCATTCGTAATTTCCATTGATTTAATAAGCCATACTGCTGATACCATAGGGTATCACTAGTCCATAAATTCAATCTGGGACATCTTTTTTACTCTTGTGATGAAAATATTATGAGGCCTACGCCATCTATGATCACAGCAAGCTAGGGTTAGAAAGGGACTGAAGGTAGTAAAGGGAATGCCCAAGTCATTTCTTATGGATGCCTGTCTAACCTGTTTTGAAATTCGGGGCAGTCATGGCATCTGCACCAAGTCCTTGGGGAATTTTTTCCCAGTGCACTGTCATCCTGGGTGATTACGTATTTTTTCCTAATGCCTGTATCTCATCTCCCTTGCTGCATTTTCAGCTCGCTATTTTTTTTACTCATCAGGTTATACCCTATCTCTTTGCCACTATAGATTTTACAGCTGTTACTCTGTGTACAGTTAGCCTTCTCTTCCCCACAGTTTCTTTCCATCTTTCTTCTCATTTTGAAGGTATGTTTAAGATCCATTTGTTCTGGATGGTAGGACCAGGAAAAATTACAAAACTCTAGCGGGAGTGCAAACAACTGCTCTTTCAGAAGGGCACAGCACTGAACAAGACCAACCTCCTACACCGAGACTGGTTGTGCCACACAGGAGCACCCAAGCCCACAAGCCGTGCACAACAGCCAAGCCGTCTGCATGGACTCTGGCCTCTTTCATTTTAGTGTGTATTTACTGTTTATTTATTGTTTGTTTTGTAGATTTAATGAGCTTCCTATTCAAAGACGTGGCTAATAAAACCTCTGTCTTTTTCAAGCTTCTTTAACTGTTAATTGTGTGAGGATGTGGACTGGGTGAAGAGAACAGCTGTAACACATTTTATCTTGTTAGTTGTTGCCCTTTGCTCTTTTGTTTTAAGTGGGAAGGGACCTTTTAATGTTTTATGGCACAAGAACACAATCAGATCTATTACATATGTGTAAAAACATTTGGAAGTGTTCCAAATCTTAATCTATGTTCTTAATTCACCTTCCTATCTTCTATTATAAAACATTTTTTGAACTTCTGCACGCTCTTTATTTTGAAAAAAAGCACATAGCTTCACTCAGCTTTTCTCAGTGTTTAGCTACAGCTGCTAATGTTTCCAGAGCAGAGTTATGCTGTAAAACTTATTTTTTGTAAAGAGAGCAAGAGAAATCACAAGAAAAGATCTGCCTTGTAACAGTCCAATTAAGTAGAAGCGTTAATGACTGCAGATGTGACTTTCAAGTAACTCAATTGGGCTAATAGTTGAGATGTTCAGATAAGCTGACTGCACTTAACTGGAATATATAATTAAACGGGCAGCTTTCTCCCTAGATTTCTGATTTGGGAATTCATAAGCGTTGATTATGTATTAATGTAATGGTTTGGTTGTAGTACAGCACTATTTGTTAATTCTGATTCACGGATTTGCTCTAATAGAGAGTACGTTGACAGTACTGTTTAATTCTAGTTTGATTGAGTTTATAATGGCTTTAATCTTAGTAATACAACTCACTTTTTTTTTAACATTTAATAAAAATATTAAGGCATGATTTCAAACAATAAAAAACCATATGATAGAGATAAACTTGATTTCATATGTTTTTAATTTAGAGGTCTCGTATATTACAGGCCATGTGAGGTCACTGGAAATTAACTTGATTGGCCAACACAGTAGACAGCTCCCTTTTACGTTTTTCTTTCTCATATTGTATGCATCAAAAAGCTCAAGAAATTAAAGTAAAAATCTTGAAAGGCAAAAATAGAAAGAGGCGGTAGTTATTAAAGACATAAAACTATGTAAAATATATATGCAACAGATTAGTTGCGGGAGCATACCACATCGGCCTGTTTGACTAAGAAATGGCAGAAGGTGGCTGACAGACTCAGGATGCAGCAAGCATACTCCTTCTCCATGTTTTACATTTTCTCAGTCCTTGAAATGAGACTTGAGAGTGCTCTATGGGATTTTTTTCCACTTCTAGCTCTAAAGTAAGCTCTTTATCACTTTGTTGTAACATTGCTGCCACACAGCTCTGAAGACAGAAGGATTAAGGGTGAAGAGTGAATGAGTATTTTTTTAGGTGGTGGGGGTGGGTGTTGAAGGGAAGAGTTGCTTTTTTCTTCTCCTGTAGGATTAGTGACCATTGGGATGAGAAATCATTTCACTGACTTCTTTATGGATTATTATTGAAGCAGAGATAAACCTAACTCGGAGGAAATCACATGAAGGCTCCACTCCAGCTCTTCTGACAACGGGATGCTGCTGCAACACCACCGGTGGGGTTGGGCTGCACACGGAGCTGCAGCAAGGGCTAGGGCTTAATGAGCAGAGCGACACTGGCCAACAAGGCAGCAGATGGTCGAGCCAGGTGTTCGGAACAGCTGCCTGGGTGGGAAGCTCTGCTGCACGAGCCTCTGCTGACCCAGACCTCTTACTGCCAGGATGGATGCCAAAGGCACAGTGGCACAGAGCTGCTGGCTCACTCGGGGCTGCAGGCCCCACACAACAGGGTTTTCTCAGCAGAAAGAAAGAAAAAAAAGAAGGTAATTCTGCTACTTTTCTGCACTTTCAGTTCTTGCTCAAACACATGTGCTAAGGCTGTACAGACTAATGTGTGTGAGGGGGCAGAGCTGGTGGATGATCAGTAGCAGGCAGCTGGCTCAACCAGCCGCAGGAGATTCTGCTCCTCCACACAGCAGCTACTGCTGAGACTGGTGCGTATGTCCATCTGGTGTAAAGGCCAGCATTTTGCTTGATTTTTACGAATGCCATGCAAGAACCCTCAGCACAGCCCACTAAAATGTACCTGCAAGGAGTCAACAGTTGCAGCTTACCCCTTGTTATTTAAAGTATTGCTTCCCACCGGAAAGCCTTCAATGTGGAAAAACCACATCTCTCAGCTGAGTGGTGTTCAAAGCCCCCCAGACAGGGATGGGTCCAGCTGTGCTTGTGTCAGCCTTCCTAAGGCAGTGACGTATCTCTGCATATATGCAGTAGTGTTATTGTGCGCTCTCTGCTAGGAGCAGGGGTTGTGGCATGTCCATTGGTATTTTACGGGGCTGTATCTCTGTAGACACCTGCAAACTTGTAAAATGGTGATTTGTAATGGTGATGTTGTGCACAACGTGGAGTCAAAATTCACTCAGATGCTCAAACCAGAGACAGACCCAGACAACATCAATCCAATCACACTGACAATTTCATTACTGCACTTACTGTTCTTCATTCAAAACAGACACACACACTTTTCAAGATGACAAAACATGAATCCAGCATGACCCCTGCTGACAGCAACCCTTCCAAGTGTCTCCTCTCCAGCTGTCAGCAAAATTAACTCCATAAAAACCAAAACCACACATATAGACTTGCGACTCACCACGAGTATAGACTAACCACAAAAAGGAGAAGAAATTTTCATTTAGTGTTTGATTCACTAAAACCTTTTATATCTGAATTGAAATGAAGATGCTGTGATTGCCAGCTTGAGTGCTGCAGAGTATGGGACAGCGGAGTCAAAGAGTTTAGGGTCACGCTGCCCAGGAACTCATGAAAGCATGAAGTTACGTAGGCAGCACGTGGTGGCGAGGCCGTACGCTGTATGCCAAGGCCACACCCAAACTGCACTTTTCTGATCAACGTTTTGCTTTCAGTGTCACTACGTGGTACACTTAAGAGCAGGCCAAGACCCCAGATTTTCTCCCCTTTGCAGTTCTCCACCAATATACATATCTCCACTGTATTTCCTTTGATGATTTCCATGTGGGCTGTGTAAGGCTGCTAAGTTCTTCGTGTTTCTGCTTCTGTCTTGGGAGGAACTTAGCAAACTGGCCCTGCTCCAGCAAATGCACAGACACATCTTTAATGTTTAGGCACGATGACATTATTCACATGCTTAACTTCCAAGGACATGCCTCTGTGTTGTGCTGGAATGAGGCCAGGGTACTCAACACTTGCCAGGCTTGAATCTTTGATCATAGTGCACACTTCACTTTGTATCAAAACAGGCTGGTTTCTTTTAATCAAATTGAGATTTTGACATTGTGTTTAGCCATATTTTATATCTGCAGATTTTAAGATATTTGTATTTTTTACTCTACCATGTATTAAATACTTCCTGTTTCTTTTCCCACAGGAGAATTTAAACACCCATTTTTCTTAGTAATTTGTCTACATGGCCTATTAACAATTCAGGGACAAAAATCTGAATGGCGCCCAATAAAAGTTATGTTAATATATGACGCCTTTTTCACACTGGCATGGAAGCAAGATAGTTACTTCCCATGACTGACTCCCACCATGTGTTTGTTGTACAAATACATCGTAACAGAGCAAGTAATTTCAAAACATTTGCACCCTTGATGCAGCAGAGCTGGCAGAGCCTATGTGGGAAAATAGTGTACATGCACCACAAGAGGACACAAAACAGCATCAGGAAAGGAGAAGAAATGACATGGCCAACCCTTAGGGAAAGATATTAAGCATAAGGGTAGCTGGGGGAACTGGAGATGGGGATAGTCATTTTATTATCTTAAAAAGACACAGATAGGGATGGGTGAAAAAAATTGAAGAAATTCATGGAGCTACCTAAGTAAGCAGAACCAGAGAGGCTCTTCCACACTGTAGGGATAATGTGGGAGAGAACTCCATTGCGGAAGGGCTAAGGAACAGCCTAGGTGTGATTTGGATTGTGTGGGCAACATGACTACAAAAAAAAAGGGGGGGGGGCCCAGAGAAGCAAGGTAAGCTATAATCCTGTATATATGTACACTTGAAAATGCTCTTCAGAGTTGTGAATGTGTAGGTATGCAGGACTACAATACTGTAACAAGAATAAGACTTTGGAGAGCTACCAGAAGGACTGCGGGCAGAGCAAGTCCAGGACATAACTTAAAAAATTGTCAAAGCTATCTTCAATCTGAGGCAAATAGAAAGCTGGTTAAGATTTCTACAGAGGGAGGACTGGTTTAGGTTAGTATTTCTGATAGCTGGTGCAAGCTCTTACATCCTGACCAGCGGCAGTCAGTGAAGTTCTAGACAGCGGGAAATCACAGGGAGAGGAGACAGGGACATGGATAAATGCTCTGGCAAAGAGATAGATAATACGGTCTCTGATATAGAAGGGATGGAGATAAGAGCAACCAAAGGACTAAAGAGTAATGAGCTGTGGAAGATAAAGAGTTCAGGGCCAACTGCAGAACTGCCCTTGCTTTGTCAGCTCTGCTGCACGGCATTTGGAGCAGGGAAACTGCAATTAAGGGAGATGCCAATTAAAGCCAAAACAGCATCATACTGGAATAAGGTAATATGATCATCTGGAGCCAGGAGCTAATGGAGTCAAAGCAGACAGGGAAATAAGGGACCAAAGCAATCAAAGACGAGAGAGCTGAGTAGCCTCTGTCTAGAAGCATTTCCCCGAGACTGAATCGAGAGAGAAGGCGGCCCAAAACCTTAACTAAGTAATGCACCAGTACCTGTGTCCGGAACATTAAGCTTCTTTCTGTGCTTACATTTGCTGACAATTTTGTGGAATAAGTTCTTTTTCTTAGACTGGAATGAACCTACAGACAACATTAATAATACATACTTTTAATTAGCAGTTTAAAAAAAAGTACAACAGTCACAGTATGTACTATACAACCTCCCCTTCCACTAGCACAGGATGCTGTTTCCTGGGGAAGCACAAAACCTGACCTTCAGCCCAGACTGGACACTGGAGGCTTTCAGCAGGCTGTACTTCAACCCATCAGCTCCCAACGCTTAAGCACACACCTTAAAGCATTTTGGAGAATGATGACCTCAGGAAAGCTTAGCCATACAATAAAACACAGGTTTTGCTCGCTTGTTTGTTTACAGATACGCTCTCTTTTGGATGCATACTGGGTTTGCCTGGAATGGAGCAAACTTTCTTCATAGCAGCCTGGATGGTCCCGTGTTTTAGACCGGTGACCAAAACAGTGTTGGTAACACACAAATGTTTTAGTTACTGCTGAACAGTGTTTGCAGAGCATCAAGATCTCTCTTTCTTATCTCTGCCACCTCAGCGAGTAGGCTGAGGGTGCGCAAGGGGTTGGGAGAGGACACAGATGGGACAGCTGACCCCAACTGACCCAAAGGGATATCCCAGACCAGATGACGTCATGCTTATCAATAAAACTGAGGGGACAGTTTTTCTTCAAAGTAGTCATTGCCCAGGGACCAGTGGGGCACCAGTTTGTTGGTGGTGAGTCCTGGCTTTTGCATCACTTGCTCCTCCCCACCCCACCCTTCACTTACTAAACTGTCGATTTTATCTTGACCAGTGAGGTTTTTTTTCTTGCTTTTGCCCTTCCAATTCTCTCTCCCATCCCACTGGGGGAGACTGAGCGAGTGACAGGGTGGAGACTTACCTACCAGCCAGGGCCAACCCACCACTGGATGCAAGTTACTTTTGCCTTTTTGGTGACCAGAAATGAGCTTATACTAAGTGCAGAAGTAAAAGGTCCCAGGAGAGGAAGGTGAGGTTATGCCCAGCTCATGGTATCATTCCTACTTTGATAGCAGAGTCTTTACCAATAGTAGTCAGAAGACATCTTATATGACATCAAACCATAAAGTATGCCACTAGCAGAGGTCATCAAAAAGCCATCCTTTGTCTCACCAATGGAGTAAACAGCAATACAGTAGCACCATAGACATACCAGACCAAAGATACAACAGGTGTAATCTCTACACTGCAAAGCCATTTTTATGGAGTGACTTTTCAGAAAATGCACTTTTAAATCTTACTTCCAAAGATACGGCAGGCAAGCAAATCTTCAGGCTAGCTCAGAACAGACTGGCCCAAACAGAGACACAATGCGCTGCAGGTGACAAGACAGCTTAAAGCTTAACAAAAAAGTGTCCTTCCCATCTGCAGCTGCCCTGGAACAGGATTCTACCCACCACAAACAACGGCCTCCTCCACTCCTCCTCATCCTTAAAAGGAACCAGATGCACACACTGGCTACTGAGATACAACCGCAACCATGTAGTGACATGCGGTCAAGGTAAGTCTACATCACACATCTGCAATTCGCCATAGCTGACTCTACATGCAGGGAAAGCAGGAGAAAAGTGTGTAGCACATGGAAGAAGAGTCTAGTCTTACGAGGGGAAAACTATTCATAGACACTAGATTGTTTGAATAATATTGGAAATTGCTGAAAGTTAAAATCCAGTCAGAAACAAGCATAGAAACCCTGAGATTTTGTACATGTTGGCCTTGTGACTCACTGCTGCTTGTTTTTTACTACTGAAGAAATCTTTGTGAAAAGATTAACAATCTCCCAAAAATTTAGAAGTTAAACAACAAACCAAATACAATCCAAGCGATACACTGTCTTAAGCTACATCAGCTTGAATCCGAATAGCTTCACTAGAACTTGTACAGAAAAGAACAGAAAGTTCAATGGAAGAGGCCATATTCACTCAAACTGACCCAAGTGCCACTCTGCAATTTTACAATAGCTTCCCAAGTATCACCGAGTTGGATAAGCAGTCTGGTGCCAGTGCCATAAAAACACAAAACAAGGAATGAAAAGGCTCAGGTTGAAGAAAAGCCTAAGCAAAAAACTTGAGCTTTTCTGAAGACTAAGATCAAACACTTCCTCCACATCAGCAGAGACAAGTCTTACTTCCCACAACAATTCCACAAGAAGACAGACAGAGGTATGTAACTAGATGATTCTTATGATTTTTTTTTTTTTTAAATTAACAAATCCGTTATTTTTGCAGATGCTTGGAATAAGCAACACATTACATAGTATCACAGAATCCTCCATTTCTACAGCTCGACCTGCATCCTACAGACCACTTCAATGAGTATGGCAGACTGTCAGCCAGTGCTACCAGAACAACTGGGACGAAAAAAACTCAGAAAAAGATCTTTCACCTCTTTTGTACCACCCAAGGCACCTTTGTCATAAGCTTGTATCTGTGACATGTTAGGTACTCCAAGGCACACGCCACTTGCATGTAGAATTTTGTTCCCAAATGGAAAACCCAAGAACATTGACTTCATTGGAGTCTAAACAGAAGCTGCCTTTCACAAGGAAACTTCCAATTTCCTACCCTTTTATTTGTTATTCCTGTGAGACAGTGCCCATTGACACTTGAACATTTGGCCATGAATAGACTGAAAGTGAACATGGGCTAATAGCTAATTAGACCTGAGAACAGGTCGCACTCAGACCTGAGAATACAACTTCTGACTCCATGAGAAACTTCATCCACACTCCCTGTCTGAACTACTTAGGAGTGAACTAGGAATATGCTCACTGCCCTCTGTGAAAAGTCAAATTAAATCACTTTCACACATACACACACAAATGGTCTACTGATTACGAAACAGACTATCTGGTGGTTCTTCGGAAGGGGCCACATGCCATCCTGCCTTTAGATTAAGGCCTAAGCCAGCGAACTACCAAATGCAGGATGTTTGCAGGGCACATTCAGGTATGAAAACCAAAGCTTTTCTTTTAATAGAAATGAATTGAACTAAAACAACATGGAGAAGGCAAAATATAGTCTGCACCAGAGAGGACATCTGCATGTAGGAAAGGCTGAACAAGCAGGCATTCCTTACATCATGTGCTGGTTTGGACTGGGATAGTGAGAGCCTGAAAAGGGATATTAACTCTAGTAGGTGTCTCAGGGGCACAGCTTAGGCACACTCACCCCTGTAGAAGTTTACAGGATGGCTGGCTGGGCTACACCTGTTTCATGGGGATAAAAGGCAGGCACTCTGAGACTTTGAACAAATGCCACTTGTCAACATTCAATCCACCACTGAAAAAAGTAACCTACCTAAGAGGCTGCTGTTAGGTAGTGGACTCTGGATGGGATTTCCTATAGAAAGCTGGAAAACACTTGTAATATTTTTTTACTTGCTATTGTAATACAGCCATCTCTAAGTGTAAAGTTCAGTCGTTTTCTCCTGCTCATTGTTCTCTATTGGAAATATTCTGCATGGCTCTTCCTTTCCCTAGCACTTCAGCAGTTGCCACAGGATTTAACCACCTGCTAATCATGGGCTCATTCATTGTGCTCACTGAGGGCAGTAGGGATTTCCTCCTGGGAATACTCGCTACGGCCAACAGCAGCTGCTTGGGGAAGCAGCAGGTGAGAAAACGGGCCCACCATACATAAGGAACCATGACTGCACTTCCTCCACATTTCCCCCTCCGTTCTCACAAAGTTCCCTATTTCAAATGGCCTGATCAAATAGAGAACTTCAACATGATCATTAAGAAAACCAGGAAAAAACGATTCGTCTGTGTATTTCTACACCTCTCAGGAGGAAGATGCTGTATTTTTAGGTCATGATCTTTCGAACATTAGAGCACGAGATCTCCAGGCATCTGAATGCTTTGAACTGAGCCAAAAAAACCCTCAAGCTAAGACCAAGAGGAATGCCACAAAGAAGCATCCATTTTGAGCTGATGAGTTATTTCTAGTCCTAGAGGCCACAGACAAAAAAAACCCTGTAGACAATCCCTTTCCCAAATAAAAGAACACCATGCATTCCTCTCTTTGCCTTCCCAAAAGGAAAGCTTTAGTGAATTGTTTAGTGTGTAAGTTCACAGCACAAGGCAGGAATAATGACTACGCCTGTTGCTCATTTTTGCATACAAGCAGCTAGTGACTCACTGCAGACTGCTGACTTCTACGTGGTGGGATGTTTTGGCACATATGCCATTGGAAAGAAGAAAAAAAAAAAGAAATCAGTCACAGCTCCAGCAAACGTTGGAGCAGGCCATCTGCACAGATTCAGTGTAGCCACATTTTTCAGCCATTTTGTGATGTTATTATTATATATACATACTCCCAGTTCAAAAGCTTCAGGTAGAATTGCCAAAACATTACGGCTTGTTCAAGCCTGCTCCCACCTAAAAAGATCCCCCATCAATTTCAATGGGAGCACAATTTGGACAACTGGGACAGCTCTGGGGAATAAATTGCCTCTCATTTAAGAAAGTTCAAATTTTCTCTTATACATGTGGATTTGAAACAGCTTTCATGTTACTCAGTTCTTCAGCTCTCTTCATGTAAAAACACGGGAAGCGAGGACTGGACATGACGACCACAATGAATGGAGTCAGTGGGCACTGACTCACTCATTTTCCGCTTAGGAGTAGGAAAATATCCTGACAATCCTGGCTGTTTGGTTTAGGCAGCAGGTCAAGCCTTTTGTAGGTATAGGTTAATGACATTTGACAGAAAATCAATGTGGCACCATTTACTCCAAAATAAAACTTATTAAGGCATACAGCCCTAGTTATGAGGGGGGGGGAAACACCCCAAAACCAACAAACCAAAACATTTCTCCATTTTTGTTCACCTAACATCCTGGGGAAGTTTCAGTGTGCAGCACTCCAACCTATTTTCCAAATTTTAAATGTAATTTAGTAGGCACTCATCTGTAGATTACAAAAATTAAGCACCTATCTGAGAACTGAGAATGCCTAGGAAGTTTATGATCCTGCATGTTTATTCAGAAAAAGTAGGGAATGATTTTTATTTTTTAAGAGTGTTTACTAAACCTACCCCTAGTGATTATTATCTATTGTTTGGAAACATCCAGAGGCCTCAGCCACTAGTAGGCACTATTTGTGCTGGACATCTCTTCTAATTACCTTACAGAGACAATCCTCAGGAAGAGCAGACAATCCTCAGGAAGAGCAAGGCAGCAGAAACCACTCCACATGACATGGTAATGCCGAGAACAGCAGAGCAAAGTTAAGGTCTCCTACATCCTAACACAGTCACACCCAAAAGACTATATTGACCCTTCATGGTTCATGTTCATCACACTGCAAGAATACGGTATTACTGTTGTTTAACTCTGATTAAAAACATGGTAACTCAAAAACCCCAGAACCATTCCAAACCATATCATTTTGCACAATATGCCATTTTCATTTCCTGCAACACTTGCAGGAACCTAGTTTGCAGACCTCTAAGCTTAACATCTTTGGAGGTCAGTATTCTCTAACTATCTTTGGACTTGTCTCAGCTCACAGGCAAGCCAACAGCATGACGAGGCTGAATGGCCTGTCAGTACACCACAAATTAAATTGAGGATTTAACTTAATGAATGTTTGGCTCAGCTGGAAGAGTTTCCCTACTAAGCTAGTAAGCTTGCTTGTATGCAATTTGGTTCAGGTCATTTCAAATCCACAACTCGCATCCTGATTTTAAGCATCCTAACAAAACAGAACAAATTAAAATCGACCCATTGCCATGGAATATTTACTTTTTAGCACTCTTTCTTCTCCAAAAGAAAAATGGTTTGTCAGAAAGCTTTTCAGCTCCTCTTGAGAGCTGAACTTCACTCTCCAGGGAGGTGGAATGACTGACACAAGCTGACAGCTTGCCCAGCTGACTTGAACGAATGCAACATTCGTTAAAATTAGGAGCAGATATCACTAGCTCCGTCTGGATTTAGTTTGGGGCTGCAGTTAGATGTTCGCTACAGAAACAGCAGTGTCGCGATCAGATATCCCTGCCCTGGGGCTGCTTGTTGAAACCCCACAGCTCAGTTGGTGGAAAAGTTCATGTGACTGTTTACCATCTGCTTCAGTGCAAAGTCAGCTGGCTTAGTTTAAAGAGCCCTTATGGTCAGCTAGAGGGAAATGCTCCATGGCCTCCTCCGCAGGGCTGTGCCAAAACTACTTATATCAGGCTTGTAACCTGCCTGCAGTTATGTTTCTGACCTCCCCTTGAGGCATGGCCAAATATGTTCCAAAGTTCTTAAAGTGATGCAGAGAAGGACAAAAATTAGGCTCTCACATATGAACCTAGCCAAAAGCAGAATGCCATTTTGGGCTACCTGACTGGAGGTAGTATTCCAGCTTGCCATTCCGAAACAACATAGGGCCTGCAGAATTTTTAGACACACAGACACTTAAACAGGTAAATACTGCAGCGAGATATCCAAGGAGCTGTTATTATAACTTCAACTGCCAAATCATGGTAGATAGAGAGATCTTGTTCCCAACAATTAAGATGTTGCTTAATTAACCACTGTATTATCACACTGTAAAGCAATTCATTCATTCTCATCGAAGAGGTTCTGTCAAATACATACCACAAAAAAATGAAAGGCATTTGAAGTCAGAACTCGCTTGGTATTAGCACAAGACTAATTTTGCAAAAGTGACTGTTCCACATCTAATTATAGAAATACAAAAATCAATACCAAAATTGGCATGCTCTAGAAAAGAACAGCTGCTCAATCCTGCATACCGTAATGTGATTATTCGTGAAGCATTCAAAACGCATAGCCCTAATCCAGTGTCACCTGGCTAAAACAGCCGTATTAGAGCCGAAAACTTGTCAGTCAGTGGCACTACCATAGCAGCAGAAAAGGAAACCAGCTTCGCATTGGGAACTCTGCTTAATGAGGATTCTTTTGAGTGTCCTTTTTGTCTTGTAGAATTACTGGTACGTCATTCCTTCCCTTTGTGATGCTTCCGTACCGTACGTATGCATCAGTATTTCTGCCACAGTCTGAAAGGAGTTTTCCGTACCATATTCTCACTTCTCCGCCACCCCTGTGTCACACGCTGTCTGTACACACAACAGCCAAACATGTCATGAGTTTCTCTCCAAGAGCCTCAGCAACAGAACCATAAAACTACATTTTGAAAAATGTCAAAATGTAATCTTTTGATCATCTGCCATTTTACCTCATTTTCTCCTGGGAAAACTCGTCATATTCACTGACCTCACAAACACTCATGTTTTAGGCAAATTTGCTTGCTATGAGGTATGTATTTCACGTACAAACTCTAACCAGTTCTACTCAGCATGAAAATCAGGGGTCAAGGGTACAGCCTGGAAACGAATCCAGGCGAGAACCGAGTAACTTCAGTGCTAGAAAAATGTTTTCTTTGACTTCATACTTTTCACACACAACAGTAAAGAAAGTATAAATTCCTGAGCTTGTCATAGCATTGCTGTTTCTTAAGAATGTATTGCGCATGGTAATTTACCTTTGTTGGATTTTGGTTGTTCAGACGAGCCGCCTCCAACTTTTCTCTTTTTCCTGGGAACAGATGAATTTCTCCTGTCAAAGGTAATAGGACTGAATTGAGGGAGGCTGTTGAATTTCTTTTCAAATTCTTCTTCCAACTTTGCTAAGCTAAAGGGGAAACAAAACCAATCAAATTAAATGTAACTCCCTTTCTGGAGGAAAAAAAAATATTTTGTTCAGGAGCATGTGTGTGTATATACAAATCCATTTACATATAGAGAGGGGGAAAGAGATAAGGCACACACACTGTGAATGAACTAGTATAAATTAACCCAACTTTGGGAAGAGAACGTACACGCCAGCTTCTGTATTTGTAACTCAGCACAAACTGATTACATTAGTTGCATATATTAAAATCAGGAAAAAAAGTTTAAAAATCAGTATCACGCTGGTGACACGTAGCTGTTTGCTGCACAGATACAGAACAGACAAATATCCTGTACAACACGGGAACGAAAAAAAGACAATAAAACCAATAAATAAACAAACCAGTAAAATGACTTCACATGCAAGTCCTTACACTGCAGCGAAAACAACGACAATTCAAACCAGAAGAAAAATGTCAAACTCCAATCTTCTGGGGATATTCTAAAACCTGACGCTTTGGGGTGGGAATTAGCTTTGTACTTGTTTTCAGGGATTATATTTTCTCCCATCATATTTTATGTGTTGCAAGACGAAAAATGCAACCAGCTCATGCTTTCAGGAAACTCAACAACCCTCACACTTCAGCCCAACCTTAACGAGTGTAACTAGATTACCTACAACTCAAGAAATCCACAGACATGGTGTTGTTGTTCCCAACAGCCAGATGAAAACTGCTCCAACAGGATGGTACGGCATGGCATTTCTGGCTGTAATGACTACACACAGTCACTCTGTTCCAGCAAATCCTTGCAGCCAGGCAGGAGCACAGGAAGGAATGGTATTTTAATAAAAGGCAGTGCACACAGCTAGGCAGATTATAAATAGCACTGGCAGTGACAGGGGAACAATGACATTGTCTACTCATCTTTAGTTGTTTGCTACGGAAAAGCTGAACTCGACAGAAGTTGGCATGACTGTTGGAGGCATTGCCCTTACACACTGTACACTTGTAAGTGTCACCAGAAACATGGCATTTCTCTCTGCTCTCTGAAGCAGCGCTTCAAACAAATTGCATTCTGAAAGCTTTGGTACACAGAACGATACTTCATGTTACCTCTGTAATCGTTACTTCCTTAAGTAAACAATCTTCCACCTTAAAATGCGGCCTTGGCTCTTGGCAGACTGCCTGCACGGTGGAGTTTGTTTGTTTTGAGTTTTTTTGGTGTGTGCGCATGCGTGTTTTGTTTTGTTTTCAAATCACAAAGATATCTGACATTAGTGGTGCTTGGTACTGCTACCTTTCTCTTCCACATGGATGTTCCCTGACAACCACAAATCAAACCGATTTTCTGTTCTGACAGCTGTCATGCAATTCCATCCTCTGCCCCATTTCCTCTCCCACTGCCTGTTGCCATCTCCCTCGTCTCCTGCCCCAGGGGCATACGAGAGGCTGCAGCTCTAATTAGGAAGGACCTATGCTGGAAGCAAACGAGCTGCCATCCTGGCTAGTAATTCATAGCTTGTGTGACATGGAAGCAGCAGAGAGTGCTATCGCTACGTCACCAATTAATTATCTAAAACAAAAATCAAATCCTTCACATTGTCATAGTCACCAATCAATTATTTAAAACAAAAATCAAATCCTTCACATTGTCATGGATTTTCAGAGCATGTCACAAGCCTGGTCGGACACACGTAGCTGAGGTGAGGTCTTCACGCCGTACAGCCTAGTCCTGACGGGAGATACACGCTGGACACACGTAGCTGAGGTGAGGTCTTCACATCGTACAGCCTAGTCCTGACGGGAGATACACGCAGCCAGAGCGCTGCTCGGCAAAGAAGTGGGCTGCACATGCACAAAGCACACCTGACAGCGACCAGCAGGGAAGTGTGGGCAACTACTAATGGAGAAGAAGGTAACAGGACACTGGCAGAAAGACATAATTCCAAAAAGGTGAGGGCCCTCCGCTACACTCAAACACAAAATGAGGCTGAAGGATGACGCTGAAGGGAGCAGAAAGAGTCAGGAGGAGCAGGTAGAGGTAAACCTAGCTCTTCAAGTAGCCGGAAGATCAGGTAGTGCAATGAACAGGGATAACGGATACCTTCTCCAGCACTTACGCTCCACGAATTACCCATTCTGCCTTTAGAAGTTCACTAAATAATATTCAGTGATGACGCAACTGAATCAAGAAGCAAGAGTGGCAAACACATATTTTCCCCATCCAATCAGCTAATGATGGTAGAACATTTGTTGAATGAATTAATTATTTACACAATTTTCCTAGCTCCTTTGAATAAACCATTTGTAACTCCATTTTTTTTTTTTGGCTAGGAGATGCATTCAGTTTTCACACCATTAGGCGTGAAAAGTTTTCAATCTTTCAACTTAAATTTAAAAAAAGATTTACAGAACTTGTATACAAGGTGCTAAAAATACAAGAAGTGTTGCATTAATTTTTTTTCTACTATTCCAAGCAAACAAGACTTGGAGATTTTAATCAATTTTGTATCTTTGCTGTAAAGTGAGCTGCAGCTAAATTTCACATAGACTAGGTTATAAAAAAAGGCTACCCCAAGCCTGCACAAAAGAAACACATTACAATTTTGAGCATGAAGTGTGGAAAATCTACTCTTTTTTAATTCATTTTCAACCTCTGAATTCAGATAACTGGAAGTCTTCAAGAATTTGCAAGTAAGTTTGAATGGCTAAGCAGATTTAACAACTACGCCTGCAGTTAAATAAATCTGTAATACCCTGACAAAAATCGTTATTTATATACTAGAAAAGTAATTCTGTGTAGCCTTGCTAAATTTTAATGCATTTGTAATCACTAATTATTCATCTAATATATTTAATTTCATGATGTACGTGAACAGTTTAAATATCTTGTCTCTACAACGGAAAAATGATCTATTTATCATAATTATTTGCCAATATTAGAACATCGTTTACTCTTCCTCTGTAAGCAACCTCTCTAAGCAGGTAAACATTTATTTCTAGTCTAATTCTGTTTATGATGACTGAACACCCACACTCTGAAAATATAAGTAACCCTCTTTGCCACCTCTTGAGCAGGTAAATATTGCGTGATTTTTTTAGAAGTGAGCAAATAAGGTAATTCAAATCTGTTTACAGCAGTGCAAACCAGGAAAGATCTCAAAGGAATTACTTCGGTATATAAACAACAGGTATCCAGAGCATGACTCAGCCTAGCGGGGTTTGTAATTTTCAGGATTTCTGTCCAACTGTGGTTATTTGGGTGCTGGATGCAGTTCACTAGCTGCAATGAGGACAACTCACTCTTAAGTTACCGGGCTGATCTAACTAAAACTATGAAGTGTTAAGCCACAACTTACCCAAAAACAAACTCTTCCTTTGGCTTAGGCTTTTTCAGTTTTTTGTTCCCACTTGCTCCGCTTTGGGAAAAAGCCCAGTTTTCTTCATTCCAGCATCCTTCATGATCTGAGGAGTTGCCTTTTCCTGCGCTTCTTTTTCCTGGGATGAAGGTAGAAAATTGTTTCTCATCTTTAGAAAAACGTGCCAAAACAAAGTGGGTTCAGAAGGAACTTGCGTACCCATTCAGTACTGCAACTAATGATGCTTGACCTTCTAACCCCTTCTTCTTGAAGAGGTTAGAAAACATTTATCCATTTAATTTAAACTGGATAATGATGATATTGGCAACTATTTCCTCCTCCCTTCTGCCCCCGTTTTTACACCACCTCTAAAATCAGGATCTTTCAAGGCATAAAGGAGGAGAAAGATAGGAATATATTTACAGTTATAAACCTCCCTGAATTACAAACGTCTTTTACTTTTCTGACTGTTCTAATTACACATATAAATCTATTATAATCAGAAAAATACACTTCAAGCCATCTCACTGAAAGCTTCCAGAAATTATCTCAAACTTATCCTTCCACCAGTTAAAGGGTCCTCACTCACCACCTACAGCAAAACTAACAACCAAAGCTAAAGCACAACGTGTTTGCCCCTTGTAGGACTGAGAACTATGCTCACAACCACAGCCCCAAGAGTTGCTTATATAGAAACAAGCTAATTGTTCAGGGTTACATACAACACAAGTCCTGCATACATGTATCAGCAAGCTGACAAATCAACCAACAAAGCCTTCGGTCAAAAAGTTAAATCTCAGATCACGAACGACAAACGGGGAGAGGTTAAGAGCTGGTGAGGTCAGTCAGAGCACAGACAGCAGGACTCCAGAAGACCTCCCATGGACCAGGAAGTCCTTCCCCGCCACCTGCCCCCAGCATCCCAGGCAACCCCACAGCATTCCCGTCACACACTGCTCAAATTCCAGCTTAAACATGGAGTTTTGCTTTTCCTTTCACTCCAGGCAAGCTTTTGCGTTTCATGCTGTAAATGAAACACTCAAAGCCACCCACCTCTGTCCACGTTGGCACGCAGAGATGTGAGCATGCCCTCTGACACCAGAGTTTTATAAAGAGCACCTTTGCAAGATCTCTCCGATTTCCTGGAGCCACAGGTTTCTATCTTTTTAACACAGTCATTGTCCTCAGTTTTGACCTGTCCGGGTAAGCTCTGGGGTACCACCTCCTCTGTTAGGGTCAGTGGTTCCACTTTAATGTTATCGGAAGCCTCACAGGGTACTTCCTTGCTGGCTGCAATACTAAGGAAATCGGGAGGCTTTGATTCTTTGGTGGTCTCCATGGGTTTCTCCTTTGATGTTTTCTTCTCTTTCGATTTCACTTTTTTCTTTGGTGATTTTGTATCCAACACACTTCCCTTCACATTTGAGACAGGGCGGGCTTTTTTGCGGGGATTTTCCGCGAGTCTCTCAGCACCCCAGTCCCCCTTTGCAACGGCTTCAATTGTATACATTACACTTTCAATGTCCGACTCAGAGGACTGCCTCTTTTTACAAGGTTTCTTGGGGGTGGATTTTTCATTTGTGTGACGGTCCAATTTATTTTTTTTCTTTTTCTTCTTTATCTTTTCTGGCTTTAGCCCGAGGAGATTCATGTCAGCCATTGAAAGCTCTGGAGAACAACACATGTAATCCTTTGTGTTATCATTTCTCTCGTAAGGACTGCTCTCCATTGCAAGACTAGCAAAATCTCTGCATTTTGCAGTTTCTGATTCCTCAGCTTTTGTCTCATCCCAGTTTTGCATTTTCTCTATCTCTGATTGTTCTATTTTTCCTTTACAGGAGTCTCTTATTCTTGTTCTCTCCAGTTCTACTTCCATTTCCTCTGGAACTTCTCCTCCCACATCTTCTAGTGCTTCCACTTTTGTTTTCCCAGGTTCTTTCAATTTTACTCCTTCTGAAGCAAGGCACATCTAAAAGGGGTTAAAAAAATAGTCCCATGAAACAAACATCATCACCTGTTAACATTACTTACCTATATTAACAGGAGCATTACACAAGGAACCTCTTTGGCATCTTAGTTCAGGAAAGCAAACTACACTGAAGGACGATACTGAAAAATACACTGAAGCCCTACTGAAACTGATGCAATGTCATGGTGGCTAAGTGCTAGAATAAGGCTGGCAGGTTCTACTGCTCTAATAGAAGGACTCCAACTGATCTCAATGGTGTTTCCGTGATCCTTTTAGTGCCTTTTATATAACCTGGAAACCCACTGCTAGATTGATTTTCAGAATACCCTAAACGCAACAGAACAATACAGTATCTCTCACTATTGCCACAGACAAGTTACTTGAAATCTCACATCCATACCCCCTTCAACTCCCAAATGTCCCCATATACAATTCTTTCCTCCATTTTCCAAATGGCCCTGAAGGGGGGTGGGGAGGAAGTTAATCAAAACTCAGTAATCGAGATTATTTTCTTTTACTCAAATGTGCAAAATAATTTGGAAAGTAGTAAAAAGCCTTCCAAATCTTTCTTCTCATGTCACAGACTTATTTTGCAAAGAACTGCAAAGCAGCAGTGGTTGCCATGGTTATCTCCTCCTGGAGATAACATTAATGGAAACTAAAACCCTCATACTGTCTGAGGAGCAGCAATATTCAAAAAAAGAGCTGTAACGAAGTCCTCAAACTGCCATGTCCCTGCAGCACTGACCTGGGCAATCCTCTCTGTTTCGGATCACCTATAAGCTACCCTCACACTGCTACAGAGGGTAGCACCAAGCAGCTGCCCTTCGGAAAGACATGTTTTCTTCTTCTTACTTTCCCTCTCAAAGCCCCCTGGCTGAATTCCCAGTGCTATTTTGTTTTAAAAACAAATGTCATCCAAACAGACATCTGGAGCAAAACCAGATGGAAGAGACTTACTTTCAACCAGACATCAGGAGTTTCCCTATCTTGCAGCTCAGCCCATGGGCCATGTGGTTAGTACGCATGTAACCTCCAGGTCTCTGGGTTCTCTTTAGGTCAGTTTCAGATTTCTCAAACTGGCAAGGCATTTCTTCCTTACAAATTAAAAATGTCTCTTACACCAATATAAGTACAACACCAATGATAGAATGCTTTGCACGAAGTTTCCAAAATTTGTGCTGCACAAAGTAGAAACTCCTGATCTGGCTCAGGTCAAGCTACATCGAGCACTGGAAACACTGGAGCTTAGGCAGCACAGTGTCTACTAGGAAGCAGGTTAAATTATGCAGAGAATCACCTCACAACTATGCTGAGGTGGGTTCTTGGTACCAAGGTACTTCTGTGACTTTTTTACTGCACTGCAATGTAAACATAGCCTGTGATTTTCAAAAGCTAAAGATCAATCTTTAAAATGCAACTCACTGGACAGTAATAATGTTTTGTCAATTAAACACAGCCCTCGCCAACGGATTTTTTTTGCCTTTATACCTTTGCTTCTTCTGCAGTAGCCAGTAGTACAGAGAGCTACGGATGTGGCTACAAAAAAAGCAGTTTCTGTTTTGTGAGCTCTAAATAAAACTTGCAATTCACAGTCTTTTAAGATTGGGGAAGTTTAAAAAGAAAAAAGCTTAGAAACTAGAGAAATACAACATTTCAATAAGAGGCCATGGGTTTTAACTGTTCCCAGAAGGAAGATCTGCTGAAAGTATCATAGAAGAGATTCAACAGAAGTTATTGACTTGTTTACTCCTCACTTCAAAAAGCAGTAGGCACCAAATGCAAAAGTAAACGGCAGCAACTAATGACCATTAACAGGTATTTGTAATGGCAATGCCCTAATCTGAGTGACAGACTAAACCATCTCTCTCTCTCATCTCCTCGTGCCCTTCCAGCCAAACCCAACAGTCAAAACCCCAAACCTTAAAACAAGGAATTGAAACAATTTCAATGGTGATTGGAAAGTCCCTTTGCCATCAGGGTCTGGTACCTCCCAGCAGCAGCACAGACTCTTAGAAACCTCTAAGCTGATGGCTAGTGTGAGGAAATCTTGACTTGTGGCACATAAACTGTGATAATTCATGCTTCTATAAGCAACAGTGTAATTATAACTGTAGCACTGCTCTGCCTTCCAGACTTTGGCAGTCAACATCATTAACTTCTCCGCCCCACTGCACCTGCGGTATAATTAGTCACCAGTATTTTAATATTACCTCTGCCAGCTGAAATAATGCTGATGTTCCACACTGTTTTGTTAAATCAGAAGGTCCTGAATGGGATGTACTTGAAGAAATCTAAAGAAAAAACAGAGGGGGAGGAAAAAGAAAAACATTCTTTTACCAGCACGATTCTTTTATGTTTATCACACAGCTTTTGAACGGATTGTTTCCTCCCTCTTCCCAAAATTCATTCATAAAATTATATGTTGAAAAAGAAGCACAGACCTGTGCACACTGTTATGAATAAAACCCTGCTCCACCATTGCTCTGGTGGATAATACCACTGGACACTAAAAGGTATTTGCAGATTTGGGGATCTTCTTGTCAGGACTCCCTTTGAAGAGTCGGATGAACTGAAGCACAAGCTGTCTCACACATGACCAGACTCCGGTGGCTAAGCACCAACCTACACCAGCACGCCATCCAGCTGGTGGCATTTTTGAAGGCTGTTGGGACATTTGATTGCAAAACCATTTCATTGTCATAGCTTAAGAAGGTTATTCCTGTCAGGCTATGGCACTGCCTGCTGGTGTCCTATAGGACTCATATGAAAGAGATGCTGTGAAACCAAAGTGAAGTGGGAGCCCTCAAGCCTTTGGTAGCCTTTACTACTCCTCAGAGTATGGGAGGCTGTCTGGCAAGCGGGTAGCTGAACATTCTCCAGAATCTTTTTCTTATATCAGGCCATGATCCTCTTCAATATTTTAGAGTGTTTTGTATCAGTTTTGACCTAGGTGGAAAGAAATGAACTTTTTCTAAACAAATTAAAAGCACTGGTGTCTGGATCAGCCATCAGCATGAAGAAGAAAATGTTCTATTTCTAAGGACGCATCCCATAATCTCTGTTCAAGCTCGCAGGTTTCTTATACTTGCTTCCTTAGAAAGAAGTGGAGTTCTAGGGACTGGAGAACTAAAGCATTTGCAACCTTTTAGCTCCCCCTATCTCCTCAAACTCAGTTTTCATCGCTTTCAACCACCACAGCCCACAAAGCCGAGTTTGCAGAAATCAACCCATCGTTGCCATAAAGGAAATAAACAAAAAGGGTTAGCAATGCTATCTCTGTATCTCCTGGAAGCTGCAGCTCTTCACAGCATCTCCCAAGTGCCAACCATTACAGCTCAAGTCTCCAAATGGTGCCCTGTTAGTGCCGTTGGCTCTCCACGGCAGAAGTGACCTCCCTGCCTTGGGGAGGGGACGTGCACCCTCGTCACTGCTGCCCTCCATTCTCGTGGAGGCTAAAGACAAAGCATGCGTTTAGGCACAGCAAGAGATGCAGCCAAGCTCATCCGCAGCAGCCTCCCAGGCTTCGGAATGCAGAGCGGCTGCTCCAACCGTTTTTAGAAACTTAGAAATTCTCAAGAATTTTTTAGAAAATAATTTAACCCAGTTCTGCATTTTATCACCATCTGCGAAATATCAGAAAGAAGGCACAGGGAAAAAGGGGAAAAAAAAAAAGATGATAAAATTGGATAAACCATGTAGCAGAGAGATGAGGGATGAGCAGAGCAGCATGGCGTGCTGAAGCAGACAGGCTCCCACGCACCAGACCCCCCTGCCATGCCAGCAGCACGGAGACAGCAGTCCAGCCCCCTCCAGTGCGCAGCATCTGCGGTGTGGAGTTACAGTGGCACGGCACAGCCATCTGCCAAAAGAACTTGCAAACCTAAGACACTGTTGAGGTGATAATGAACACAGTTTATTTGGGATGCTCCAAAACAGGTTCTGAACTGCCATCTGAAAACTTAAGCTGAATCTCTCACATTTTATTTATCCAATTACAACCCAACATTACAGAGATCTCCAAAACTGGTAAAAAAAAAATAAAATCAACAGCACTAATGTCCTACAAAAGCTAGAGAAAAGAAGGATGTGCTTAGCACATCTGCCATGCTTTTCTCAGTTTGAATCATAGTCTGTAACATTCATTTTGTACATTAAATTAGGCTTGTAGGAATCCATCTGAGCAATCACTGAGAGCGCGATCATGAGAACCTGTCCAACATGCAAACGTCACACTGGCAGACTTAGCTTCACTTTTTCTGCCAACTGCAGCACGAACTCTGCACTCCTATGGACAAACACCTGTCCTTCCCCCAAATTAGGGCTTCACAAGCTTCACAGCCACATCACAGCTTTTAATGCTGACTTCCAAAAGTCCATCTGTGCACAGCAACAGCCTTACTCCAGAAGAGCACTACTCAAAGCCTGCTGCTGTCCTGTAAGAGGACACCTCAGAAACTTCTGGTGTCCCTGACTAAATATTATCAGCCTTTCTGCAATACTCAAATGTCCTTGTGGACCACTGTAACTATCCTTGCATAAGTACTGCTAAGAATGTAGCACACACACACAAACTCTACTACAGCCAGGAACTGCCTGTAGGGTAAGGCAGGTTTTCTTCCACTCATATAAGTTCCTATAAAGTCAGACAGTAGCATTACTATCCACGGAACAAAGCATGAAATATGATGCTTCTAATATCTGTCTTTTTTTCTGAGAGAGATTAACCTCGCCAGCAAGAATACATGCCTGGATGCCAATAGATGGGATCCACAAAGCCATTTTCCTCACTAAAATAGGACGTAATTTTGAAAAAAAAAACACAAAACCAAACCACCAACAAGCAAAGTGTACAGGTAAGGTGCTAGCATCCTTCCTTATTTACCTGGAACACAGCATGTATCCTATCTCTCAATCATCAAGAAAAATATTATTTGCACACCAAGCCTCAGAGGTTTTTTGAGTGATTCATCCATATCAAAGAAGAGATCTCTACAAGGTTATATTTAAGACTCAGAGAATTTCTAGGACTGTTGGGAAACCTGACCTAGTATTCTTGATGACTGCTGAGAGCTGTCGATTTCAGAGCTCCATACATTGTTTCAACTTCCAACTCTTCATAGAGATTCCTGATGATCTCAAAGTCTACTTTTCTCCTCTTATTCTTGGTCCCCGAGTCAGTAAGGCATCTTCCAGTCCTTATTACCAAAGCTTTACTTTTTGAATCCTGCTATCCAGCTCCTCGTTTAAGAACAATGCTGTTGTCTTTTCTTTGCTATTGTCCTAAGCATTGTTTTTATTACAGTTATAAGATTAATTTTCCTAAACAGAAGCGTAGCTTTTTCTGTGCCGTCTCCAAGAAACTACACACGTTATATGAAGAAAAGCTAGGTCCCTGGGGCCATTGTCTCCGCCTAATTCTCTTGCTATTTCATTATTTACTAATTTATGCTTCTGGAAATACTAAATTTGATACTAGTGCAAATCTTACGCAATTCAATTCATACTTTTTTGGGAAAAAGATACAAACATCTTCCCACTGTGATGCTGATGGGTGTAACTTTACCTCTGCCAACTGGAAGAGTGCCGACTTCCCACAGTGCTTAACTGGCTCAGGATTTGACAACTGGGAAGTATTTGATGAGATCTAGGTTTTAAATGATCAGAGGAGAAAATATTTCAGTGGCACAAAGGAAAGACAGGAAGGAAGAGAGAAAAAGAATGACAAAATTAAGGAGTTAGTTATATCAGTTACTTTCAGATCTTTCTGGCAGAAAGCCCTACTTCAGATAGGTAATCCCATCCAAGAAACACTTAACAGGCATTTAGAAGTCAGCAAGACACAAGCAAATACAGAATTTCTTCCATAGATTAGGCTCATGGATTCTTTTCTACGTTTGTATTGTCCACAGCTAATATTCTATCATGCTGTGTGTTTTACGTGACTAAGTGAACAAGATGTACCTGTTGTTTAAAAACATGAACTGTGGTGGTCAAGGTTAAATAAAGTTCTCCCAGAAAGCCTGGGCAGTATTTCCCATTTGCTTAGATAAAAAAAGAGGTCCATATGTCCTCACAGGCACTGCTTGTTTCACCTTCTTTAGCTAGAAAAAAGTATTAAGACCTTACGTCTGGAGATCAGATCTAGCCTTCGACATAGACAATGGTGTGCCAGCACCAGCACTGAGTAAGTAACTACCACCACGCTTCAGGGAATTGCTTTTGCAGCCAATTTTTTTCTGATCTGCTTCCAAGTGCAGCATTAAGAGTACACCAATGCAAGACTTAATCATTATTTCTCATATCTGAGCTTTCTGGCACGGCATTACATGGTAGTATTTGACCTGGAAGCCCTGAAAAGCTGTAAGACTAGGGGAAGGCTACCCGTGTTTCCATGGTATCTGCCTCATCACAAAAATCATGCCTATGACCAAGATCCTTCAGATGCAAAAATTATCAGCTTAGCCTTTCTCTTTATATTTAATGTCCTTCTTCTTAACTAGATTATTTGAAGAGTTTACTTTTCAATTGTCAAGGAGACTCATTACAGCCCCCACCCCAAATCCAGAACATCCGTTTTACTGCAAGCTATTTAAAATATGGTGAATATTTCAGTGTGCATTAATAACAATTTTTAATATTAAACTGAAGTAATTCAAAATCCTAGTTTTGCTTTGAGACAGTTCAGTGAACATGCTCAAGACCCCACTGGAGTAAGTGATCTTGTACACTGCACTGGCAAGAAGAAGGCCTCAACTTTTTATCTTTCTAGCATAATATATTCTCAGCTCAATGATTTCTTCAGCGCAATATGAACAGCAGAAAAGGGAAAGGAAAAACACCCATACACTGAATTACAACCTCAGAACATGCAAGCATATCTTGCCTCCTGATGCACAATGTGAGGAAAGAGTAACGAATTTTGTTCTGACAATAGAACGGGTGCTCTTAACAAAATGCAAGAGAGATCCTTGTAGTACTAACAGAAAGAGAGGAAGCCAGCATCTCACTTCAGCAAAAAAAATTCTCTCCATAGTCAAGAAAACAAACTGCAAGAGACATAAACTTAGAACTCATTCCGCCGAAGTTGCTGGCCAAACATCAGAAGTAAGAGGACAGCTGATGAATCAGCTCTCAGTGATATTACAGATCTCATTCCCTGTCTTAATACCATCTTCCAGTTTTAATTAGAATAATAAGAACCTGCAGTATGACAACACAAATAGCCCCTTCTTGCATAGAGGTTTAACTCGGGGATCATTAGAATCAAGTTATTATCTTTTATTACAATGCAGGTCAGCATTTTAGCTACTACATTACATTCTAGTTTGCATCAGAAGCATGTGTCATGGTACCACTCTCATTTCTCTCCTAGAACAGGTATTTCACTTCAACACGAATATTTAATATCAGTATATAGGCAAACAGCAAACATAATCCTCTGGTTTATGTAACAGCTTTACCTGGGAAGACTACAGCTTTACCTAAGGGAAGGCTGGAAGAGAAGATACTGACTAGCTCTCACACTCCCAATTTCAAGGTATTTTGATCAAAAGTTTTGGATTCAAACCTTCTGTTCAGCACAGAAATAAACAGAAAGGGTTGCCCGCAAGTCCGCTCACAATGAGTATGTAAGAATGCAGCAGGGACAAAATCATCCTCCAGCACAGATTTTTCTTAAATCATAGTAACCTACTAGACTAGCAAACAAAATTCTACCTTGTTGCACGCTTCATGTGCTGTTTTTTTGATTAAATCACCTAGAGAAAAACTTCAGAAGCATTGAAAGCGAAGAGTTTGTGGTTTTGGACTTCATTTTGCTTTTAAGATGGGTAAACTAGCAATTTTATGTGTTCCACCCCGAGGAAGCATTTTCTTTCTTTAATAACGGATGAAAGTTTAGCCAAGTAAATCTAAGAGGTACTTGTGTTTCTTCTCTATGAAGCAGTCGTCACCATCTGTTCGCGTTTGCTAAACACACATCCAGCAAGACCAAGAGAGCAAGGGGTCCCATCTGCTCTGCTTCCTTCGCATGGCGAGGAGGATGACAGCAACCAGCCCATGTGAGCAGACAGCTTGCAAACAGCCACCACGCTAAGGAACACAGCCCACTGCTCAGAAACCACTGGCCTATATAATGGCTTTCCATAAAGGTGCAAACGAGAAGGACAAAAGTAGGGCCAAGTATTTCCAAGGTCAGAGCTGAATGAGAAAGACAAGAGCAAAACTTGGCAACACTCCTGTCGTGGTTGAGCCCAGGTGGCAGCTCAGACACCACGCAGCCGCTCACGCACTCCTCCCCCTCGGTGGCGTGGAGAGAGAAAAATGTAACAAAAGGCCTGAGGGTCAAGATAAGAACAGGCAGGGATGTCCCACTAGCCATGGCCCTGGGCAAAATGGGCTCAGCTTGGGGACAAATCAATTTAATTTGTTAACGGTTCATTCAGAGAGGATAATTAGAAACAAAGCCAGATCTCAAAAATACCTTCTCCCTCACCCTTCCCTTCTTCCCGGCTCTACCTCCTCCTCCAGCAGCACAGGGGGATGGGGAATGGCAGCCTTGCAGGTTAGTTCATCACATTTTGTTTCTGCCGCTCCTTTTTTTAAAGGAGGACTCCTCACTCTCTTTTCCTCTGCTGCAGTGGATCCTCTCCTCATGGCACAGTGCACAGACTTCTCCAACAGGAGTCCTTCCCGCAGGATGCAATCCTTACCCAGTGCGGGCTTCTTCTCCACAGAGTCATGGCTTCTCAAGGCGCTGCCACCTGCTCCAGCGTGGGGTTCTCCATGGGCTGCAGATGCCTCTCCGTCTTTGTTGTCACTCTCCAGAAGCAAACTGAGACCATTTTCTACAACCTCCCTCAGGCACAGACATCTCTGCTCCAGCGTGGGGTTCTCCGCAGGCTGCAGGTGGATCTCTGCTCCACTGTTAATCTTCATGGCTGCAGGGGGCTGCTGCCCTCTCGCCATGGGCCGCAGGGCAATCCCAGCTCTGGCACACCTCCTCCCGCTCCATCTTCCCTGACCTGGTGTCTGCGTGGCCGTTTCTCTCAAGTCTCAGTCCTCTCTCCGCTGCAGCCGTGCCAGGCCTGATGAACACCGTCAGTCCCGGCAGGAGGAGCTCTGCCCAGCGGGTGCCCTGGGAGCAGGGCGCTGAGGAGCTCTCTGAGCTGCGCCCACTGTGGCCGTCTCCTGGCCTGAGGGAATGAGGGGTCTGACCAGGCCAGAAGCTGGTCCGACTGGTTTTGGAGCCAGGGAAGCTTTTCACAGCTACTTTCAGGGGCCATTTTCACAGCCCCTACTGTGCTACCAAAACTCCATCATGTAAACTTAGCACAACTCTAAATTTCAAAAAACTCATGAAGAAGTCACATCATCTTCCAAGACCTCCAAGGCACACACGGGCAGGACCCAACCAAGTCTTACTCCCGAGATTTTCATTATCTGTGTGGCAAGTCACTGGGCAGACCTCATTGGCCACAACCTCAGCAGCCTTAATTGAAGACTATAACACTTAGGACAGACAAACAGATGAAAGGCTAACACAGGCTGGGAAGAAGAAAGAATCTCATGCTACATCTACATATAATGAGCTGTTTCTGAGTGACGGGGACTTGTACTCCTGGGGTAAAGGTGTCCGTTTTAAATGGCAAATGTACTCAATGGGATCACTGTCTTCACAAAGAGGCACTCTTACTCGCTCTGTCGCAAAGGCGGCGAAGAGAAAGGGAGCATACGAAGAACACCCAGCCAGAACCAAAACTGAGCTGGGATGGCTGCCAAAAGTCTCCAGGCACATCTGACCACAGCACACTTCGCATTTCTTCACAGGTCTACTTGGCTGCTGGCTAAATAACTACTTTCCCTCCCTCCCTCCCTCTTTTCTTTTGTAGCACTGTACATTGCTGACAGCAGCCTACCACAAATCGCTTACCATAATTTAGCTTACTAAATGCAGCAGTGCGTTCATATAGACAGGACCCAGTGAGAAGTGGCACGGCAAGGAATGGGATTTTTGCCAAACTCAACAAAGACACCCTGTGCAAATGAAAGCCCTTATATCTGAAAGAGCACAAGCAGCTCAATAGTGGGGGAAGAAAGCTTAACGAGGTTCTGTAGCATGCGCAATACTTTACCCTGGAACAATCTAAAGGCTGCAATCTTAAAAAAAAAAAGCCATCTCTCTATTGCTATAGATAAAACATGATGTTAGTCACTGCCACCAAGGTTTCACAACAACAGTATAACACAGGAGAAATAACCTTGGCCAACAAGGATTTTTTGTAGTTTTTTGTTTTGTTTCGCTTTTCCGGATCTCTGTCCCTTATTTCCAGACACTGAAAAAACTACCAAAAAACACAGCCTCCTCCAGACTGCATGCACATTTTAATATTTTTACAAGAAAAAGGTATTCATCCTGACTTTAAAACTGTCCTCTCCAGTTTCTAATTAACGTTCTAAGCACCAGTTCTACCTAACATTTCATGATTCATACATGCACTTCAGTGTGCCAAGTGAGCTGGCCCAGCATAGTGGTATGCAACTCAATGCACTGTTGCACTGTCACATCTGTTTGACAATTTTCAGGTTTGTCTTTTTTGTTTTTTCAATTAGGAGAAGAAATGATTTCAGGTTCTGTGAAATTTTGAAAGTATGGAAGTTAGGTTTTACATGACAATTTGAAAATGTTGTACTAAAGGCAAATCACACCTTGTGCAACTCTGCAGGTATCTAAAATTGATGTTTAATTAAAATGTAAGATGCCTAAGACTTTTGAAACTAAGTGAGCAGATTCACTCGTGTAATATTTTGCAACAAAATTCACAAGAGACGTTCCCTATCTTGTATCTTTTACTTGGTTAAAAGGTTAGCTTCAGCACATGGCTTCACCCTTCTCAATTTCACTAGTTTTCTCAGAAGAACTTTCTAAATTAACCTGTAACTTTAAAAAAAGGTGGCACATATGAAAACATCTTCATGATTGGAGATATTAACTCTATTGTGTCTTTTACAGGGGTGTTTTGTAGCCAGGTGTTTTATGGCACCTGAATCAGTGAATTGTTTTTTCTCAATTGCATCTCCTAGGAAACACATCAAGGCCCACCCTAATCAAGCTGAAAACACACAGTACACAATTAGCTTAACATTTAACAGAAAGAAGCGTGTTGTATGTAATCAAACCTCCGTAAGCACATGGAATAACAAACAGGGTATCTTTTAATCCCATTGTGCTCCTCCACAACAGCACCAGATCCAATCCCAGTCTTCTCAGACACACCCTGAACATACCTTTAGCATAACTGATTCTGCAAGCAGTACCAGACTCCCCCAAATGGGCAAGAAGAGTGTATGTGTGGAAAGTCAATTCATAAAGGCACATTGAACACATGGGAGAAGAAATTCTTAAAAGCAATCTTTAAGAACTTCAAATCTTCAAAACGTGGAGGAAGGAGGGTATCTTACACTCTTACGGGTAACTTACAGGCTTTGTAAGTCACCACCTAACGATGCTGTTACATACCCTTGTAGCTGTTGTGATAAGCTTCCTTTGACCTGCAAGGTTATTTTTCAAAGGATTCCTGCCTCTAGGGCAGTTGCCATTTTGCACTGCTGCAGCTCTTCCATAGGCAGTGCACAGCATCATTTCAGAACGTCTTTTATTTGTTTTTTCCCTAGATGTAAATTCGAAGGTCATTTGGAAAGAAACACCTGCAGTGGTTCTTTGGTATGGAGGCCAGCTAACGTTCATAAGCCCAGTATCTTTTGTATGCTACAGCTGGTAGAACTGGCCAACATCTCTTCAAATCACTGGTTATTCCCCCCATAATTTTCTTAATACAACGCTGTCATGATGATAAACATCTACTGATGAGAATCCCTTGTAAGACAGGGTGCTTAGCCATTCAGTGACAACTCTTACTGGTTCCTTGCTTCCTCCCATCCTCCCCCACCATGTTTCAGCCATTATACCTCGGCAAACTGAAACAATGCAGACTCCTCCGTTTGTTTTACAGCTCCTGGGACTCCAGGCTGTGATGTGCTTGAAGAGATCTGTCAGGAAAACAATTATGTTTGTATTACCTAACTCTTCAGTTTCATTATCAAACTTCCAACCTGCTGAATTTCTGATCCATTGTACAGAAAGACTGCTGGTACCTAAGAGCATGCAAATGAGTCCCAGCACATCCATACAAAGAACAGCATCTGTGTAATGGTGATCTTGAATTACTTTTCACAAGGAAAATCTTTCCTAGGATCATCTGAACAGACTAATATTTTTTTGAAGGGCTTTTATTTACCTGCTGATATGTCAAAACAGGGCTAGCCGACAAAAACGTAACACTATATTGTATTTCACAGCTCAACGAAACACCTGAGACTGCAGAACGGTGGTGCTGATAGAGCACAAATTGCTACTTGCCACGGAAAGTAAGCGTGGACAGGGACAATGTGTGCAGGTACTTCAAGATAACAGATCTATCCCAGACACTAAGGTAACTGCACTTTATACTGTTTAACTTGTGTCATTTATTTTTGTTGCAAATGACACCTGTGATTAATGTTAGACATTAGTACGAGTACCAATTATTTTGCCATTGACACACATACCTACCATGCACTGGTTAGATGCAGCCTCACTACAGGCTGTTTAAACATCTTCAAAGAGTAAGATTAGCTAATACGCATTTCTAATTACTGATCATCAGTGAGCTACTAAACCCTCATGTTTTAGCAGAGCAGATGAGCTTGTTTCCTGGCACACCCTGAAGTTCTTCTTTGATGGGTCAGGAAAAGTCAAGGGTCACAAGTCCTTACCAAGACCATATCTTGCAGCCCACAACACAATTCCTGCCTACTACCACATGGCTCGAGCACTTTCCTGCTTGGGCACTGTAAAATGAACTGAAACAATCGAGCTGGTATTTGTCTTACTTCTTGAAAGACGTAGCAGTGAAATCCAAGAAACAGACTGTTATCAAGAGGAACTACCAAATAGGACGTTGCTCAACTGACAGCGTAAGTAGGCAAAAGCATCTTAGAAATACTGGAAGATGGATGTTGAATTATTATCACGGAAGTATTGTAAGTGACACTGGTATTAACCAATTTTAAGAAGATTCTAAGTTTTGCTTTTCACTGCTGGCAGACCAAGTGTTTCCTCTTCCTAACAAGAAAAGCCAGTAGGCTGTTTCAGACCCTAATTACAGGTTATGTACTTCACTCTGGACATTACCTTTAATCAGAAATAAAGGATCAGTGCTTTAATTTATTTCTAATTCATTTTGAAAGCCTCAGATCTTAAGTTGGAACTCAAGGTCTTGTAGGCTGATGTTAAAAACAAAACAAATAATATTTTCTGTGTGCTAGGATTACAACGTATCTGCTCAGTAAATTATGACATTTAGGGAGGAGTATGAAGGTGCAGACAGACAGGAGTATTAAAGACACGGGAGTCAGATTCGCAGCTGGTGTGAAAACAGGTAATAAAAAGAAGCCCCTGCTATGACAAAACTTTCTTCCATATGCACTTACTCAAACACCACCCAGTGTCCTGTACAATCAATATTTATACATGTAAATATTTCTATGTCACTCGATTATGATCATTTCAAAAGCTGTAAAAATATAAACATGCAAGTGATGCTTGCAGAGGACCAGGATTCTTTGCAACCTCATTCTTGTTGTGTTACTTACGTCAATGAAATTCATTAAAACCTCGATGAAATAGTGTATACTTTAAAATAAACAAAACACCTCAGTTGCACTTCTAGCAATAACTGGAAATATGTTGACAAAAATGTTGTACATTGCAAAACTAAAGTATAGTTGCATAGAGCTATTTAGTGGTTCAAGAACACAAGAAAATTTTGGAAATTCCAGAACTGCAGTTATTTTTGGGGGAGTCAACGACTGAAGCAGCCACAATAGAGAAAGGACATGATGTAACATCCAAATATATGTGTTATAACTTCGGTTAGTAAGACTCTAGTTTAAAACTAAGGGCAGGAAAGACATATCTCTAAATTGCTGCTTGAGGTAGAGCTCCATTATTGCATTAGGGTTTCCACCGGGTTCCTAAACACACTCTCCTGCACTTCAAGTCTGACCTACCTACCTGAGAAACGATTCAGTACCATAAACCCAAAAAAAAGGAACAAATGAAAGCATGAATTTTAGTTAAAGATTTTTGATTTCTCTTTCAGCTGAACATCAGATGCTTCTTAAAAGGAAACACTTAGGAAGACAACCCTTTTCAAAAGAAACTCACCTCTGCAAACTGAAACAGTGATGACTTCTGGCAGGCTTCTGTAGAGTTAGTTGCATCAGACTGGCAAGTACTGGAGGAAATCTGAAACAAGGAGTGTGCAGAGTAAGACATCAAAGGTGCTTCTTTCAAGCCAAGAACAACAGCGAGCAAAACAAAATCCCAGGCAGTAGTAACAAGAAGCAGTGTTTAAGAGAAGATGGTTAATCTAATGTTTCACAGTCCTGGACAGGTTAAATCAAATTTATAGGTGAAAATATAGTTTAGCACCCATTGTAATGCATTCAAAAATTGCCTAAGAAGAAAGATCACAAAAACACCAGGGATTTTTTTTTTCTTTTATAATTCCAAACTTTGGAAAAGAGTTTTGTGTAACAGAATACTCAACTGATGATACTGGGCTACACACACAGCTACCCTGTATTGGTGATGCTACTGACACTGCTATATCTGTAACTTGTGCTACTATTCTGAACATGAAAATTACTTAAAGGTAAAAAAAAACTTTTTAAGACACTGAGGGTTGCTAAGTAACAGAAATACTTATTAGAAAAATAATCCCCAATCACCTAACAGCATGAAAATGAGTAGTCAAGGGTACCACAAGCCTAGAATTGCTCAAATAACGTATCTAAACATCCATTTAGAGGTGCTTATGAGAAGCAGTGCAAGAGAGAGTCCTAACTTCTGAAATCAAAATACAAAGAAATGACTGTTCAAAACCAACAGCTTTATTCAAATTAACACAGAGCTTAGCCGTACTACTCTTATTAGCCAGAAATGTGTTAATCAAGCATCATTCTGTAAGGGAATTGTATTAACTATAACACATTCATCACATGTTACATTTGAGTGTGAAAGATTTACATGTCTAACTCCTAGAAGCACGAGGCATTGCTAGTATAAAATCAGGTATGTAACACGGCTTACAGGAAACAGAAGAAAGGTAGGAGGCTTTGTGGGATTTTAGAAAAAGTAACAGGATGGAATTTTTTTTCCCCTCACAATTTTTTTTTTTCCTGAAATTTCCATTTATTTAGACCACTGAGATGCAAACATGCTTTTTCTCTTATTTATCACCAAAACAAGCATGCCAATAGCATTTATTAGTGAACGCACACATGAGGTTTAGCTAGCAACTGCATCTGTTGCCGGTAAGCACGAAACACCACAGAATAAGCAGGCCCACAGCACACGCCGTTCGTTCTGCTGCTCCTGCTGCTCTCTGTCCGAGATGCTGAAGCACTACAATAGCACCAGTGGCATTTCGTTTCAGGAACCTGCCACCCATACTCCCCTGAAAACACTAAATCCATATGTAGCAACCCACACAGGTCAAGGGGAACTATACCACATGACAATTTGCTTACATACACAGTTGGAATTGTTTCTTTCCTGCCGTAAAGCCAAGCAATAACAGTGCCTCCTACGATCTTTGCTTCCATTGTATTTATTAAACACTACGCAGGATGTTCTATCAGTGTACTATGGGAGTATACCGACCCAAAGGGTTACAAATAACATATTTTTAAGGTCTGTCTTTTGCTTTCTCAATGGTTTGTGCTACTGTTTTCACCAACGTAATGTTTATTACTGCTTTTCTTATGTTTCTGTATGATCTGTTCAAGACGCCCGTGCCTCAGCAGCAGTGTGGACAGCACCAGAGGCGCACACCGATCATGCTGCTGCGGAGTGACCCATCTCTGAAGGTCTGAGTCTCTACACTGGGGGGAAATATGTCAGGATGCTGCTTGCATGTCTGAGTGCTCATCTGGTTATTTCAGGCCACTTCACCAGTGGGATTCTCTCGGGAATAACCAAATTTTGGATTTGCTTCCCCATGTAACTTAAATTTTCTGCACTTCGACCAGCTGCCTTACGAAGCTTAGTTTGTGGTGTCTGCTGAAGCGATGTGTTTGCAAGCGGAGGCTACTCAACGTGCCATGCGAAAGGGCACTGTTTTCCTTAGGAGAAGTGATGTGAGCGAGGAAGCTGTGTGAAACCTCCCCACTCCCCAAGGCAAGTGCCGCAGGGCCACGCATGCCTGAACTCTGCCCACCCGCTCTAACAGAGACTGCGGCCTCGCAGCTTCCTCTGCCTATCTAGGGGTACATATACATGGATGTGTCAACACGCGCCCAAGCCGGCACGGCACAAACCAGCTCTGAGTTGGGAGCCATTGAGCCGTGCCACCCCAGGAGCACCGTGCCAGAGTGGAGAAGCCCTCCCGAGAGGCCACGTGCTGGATGTCAGGCACAGCTTGTTCACGCGGTGGTGCAGGAACCAGGAGCTGTGGAAGGTGGTGTGAAGCCGTCTCCTACGGCTTTGTGTGTAAAGGTGCCCACTTTACACACAAATTGCTGGTGCCCACTAACTCAGAGGCGATTTTGTGGTTAGAACAACTATACTTTTCCTATCAATTTCCATTATCTTTAAGAAGTTAATGCTGTTGCCTTTGCTTAACAGAAGCACTAATTTGAGCTTGTTTCTTCTACTCTGCTGCTCCCCACACGCTCCTGACTTGTGGGAAATTTATTATCTCCAGGACTTCTACCCTCTGCCAAGCTGAAGCTGATCAAAGCGTTAAAAGAATTACCGGAGGGAATGGATGCACAGATAGTGCCATTGCATACCTCTCATTTCCTGCTACAAGAAAACGTCCTCAACATCTCATTTCTCCTTCTCTTTCCTCCTCTCAGCTTACCCTCAGCTGCACTGAGAGATTTTTCCACTTCTGATTTACACCCTGGGCAAGACCACCCTTGCCTCGCACGCAAGAAAACCTTTTGTTCTCAAAGAGAAGGAAACCGCACAGACAACGCCTCCGTGGCCTCCCTTTCCCCACAGGTTACCGTAACCCGCTCTAACACAGCCCACGCCGAAGGAAGGGGAAGGACAGACCCCGGCCCACCTTCTGCACCCACTGACGCCAGGCTGGAACGCCGTCCAGATGTGCCCGCCAGCGGCAAGAGCCGCTGGTAGAAGAGCTACGTTTTGGACTACGCTACAAATCCCGGGATTTCTGGGCAGTAACCTCCAGAGAGGCCACTAGGTGCTGCTGTAGGGCAAGCAAAGGGCCGGCCGGGCGAGGGAGGGAGAGGAGGGCAAGCGAGGAGCGCTCCTCACCCACCTGCAGCCTTTCTGCGAACGAACCCGCGGGGAGGACCAGGCTTTGCCCAGCACAAGGACAGGAGCTGGAGCGGGCCCGTCTGGCGTTTCTGCTCGGGTGTCCAACAAAAATATGCTCATATATGCGTCACAGTCTTGCGTAACTGACGGAAGGACCCAGAAGCCAAGTGGAAACTCACTGCCTGTCCCAGTCCTTCGTCTACTGCTGGTAAGGTCTGCAGCTTCTCCTGCCTATCTGCTTAGTAACTCCAGCCACTGCTTGAAAATCACTCATGTACCCACACCGAATTCTGTTATCAGAAGAAGAACTTTAGTCTAGTCTATTGAAACAAGTTACAAAAATAGGAACACAACTGGTGATATACAGAGATGGTGACTGAAGCCTCAAAGCACTTTTGTAAATATCACTGTTGTGCCTCTTCCAGTCCTCCTGCTGGTGTCTGTCCACTTTGTTACCTGACATCTGAGCTTCTGACAACTCCAAGGTTAAATACCTGACTTGAAAAGTCCCTATACATCCACTTAACATACACTTGACAGGAAAATCGGCTGGCGTTGAATGCATTTACATGGGATTACCAGACCTCTAAGTATCCTTCCCCTCATCTTCTCCCGAGTTCTGAGCAAACTATGCCGGTGCTGCCCTCCTCTCTATTGACAATTTTTAAGACAATAATAGCATTTAAGACCTATGCTTACAAGGCCACCCAAGTCTGCACAATTGTACATATGGACAACCAACCAAGCTGCATGTTGACAGGTAATCTTATGTCTAGCAGGTTCCCAGTGTAAGGACCATACATACATAGGTGTGAGCATCTTACGTGTACACACACACACTTTAATGACAATGAAGACCACATGATATCATTTACAGTATTCTTTTAAAAACAAAAAAACCCCGCTGCATCTGTCCTTTTTTTTTGAAACAGAAATGCCAGGGTTTTAGATATACAACATATA